AAAATATAATAGTGTAATGCACTCATTTTTTTATTTCATTGTGTTCGGATTTTACAAAAAATACAAAAATTCCAATTTATATAAAAAGGATATAAATTTTGTATACTAGTAGCCAATCAAATTGGGAAGAACTAAAAATTGACAGTGTACAAGATTAAAATTCATAAAATTCGACCTACAATCCTACAAATGATGTGACATGTTGCAAAGAACATAATTACTTGATAGATTTTAGGTAACTGCATTACGAGTTGCATCAATTGCGTAAATTAAAATTCTCAACTCGTCACGGAAAACGGAATCAGTGCCTGGCGCATGGCGCACCAACAACTAGCGATCCTTTCGACTCAGTATCGAAAATTGCGTTGCGCTGATACAGTAACAACTGGTGTATCAACGCTCGTAACGCATACAACTGCGTTAACGCAATAACGCAGCGCTGCGTTACCCATGTCTAGTGCTCAGTCTGGACGGGGAATTTATACCGAATAGAATATAGCGAGTTTTCAAGGTTTATTTTGCATTAAGTGGAGTCAGGAAAAGGTTTTGCTTCTCCTGGATGTATATAATCAGTGAGGCACGGTTATATCTTCTGTAACAAAAGAGATAATTAGTACCTCTTAACTTTGTGGTCACCGGTGGCACACGACGTCCCTGAGCAAAAAATATGTAACAGCCGTCGTGTATCACCGGTGGTACATATTTAAATACTACAAAAAAATTAAAAAAAAAAACAAAACATTAGCATATAAAGGTTTATTGATCACAAATACAATAATATTTACATGTTAAGCAAAAAAAAATTACGGTTGTATGTTGACACATCCGAAATCGGCTACGGCGCGAACGTGTTATGTATCGAATTCATAGCCCTCAGAAAGTCTAGATACCGCTTGGCGTATGCTGTCAATACAAAAAAAAAGACCCCATTCAAGCTGGCCTACTAGAAGAACAAAATAAACAACACAACAGATAATAAAATCGATTATAAACGTCGAACGCCGATCTTAAGAACTTGCGCCGATTCTGTCTTGTCAGTAGTGCCAACTTAAAATTTACGCATAATGGCGCCTTCATATTGGGGGTCAAAATTTTTCACGAAGCGGCATATAGACTTTCTGAGAGCTATGATCGAATTCCATCTCCTGTCTTTTTTACTTCCACTAGCCATCGTTCCATCTTGCCAACTGTTTCTGTCACTTTCCTTGCTATAAACCCACGTATCATCCATAAATACAGGCCCAGCTCTATCTTCTTGTTAAAAATTTTTCGTACAGACGAAAAAATTTTCTTACCCCCATTTTTTTAAAACTTTTTTTTATGTTTCCGATCATTCTGAGTCCGAAAATGCATAAAAAAATGTTTCGTCTGGTGTTCTGGGTGTATGTATGCCGGCACAATAACTCTAGAACGAAAGTTCCGATTGACTTGCGGTTTTGATTTTCTTGAATAATTACTTCTAACTTAGAACCCTATTGATTTTCAGAATTTTTGGTTCATCCTAACTACTTTAATATCAATTTTCTTAAAATCCGCTTATGCATTTCTTATATGACAATTTTAGGAATTCGAATTATTTCTAACGACCTGTCAAACAACAGCTGTTGATAGTAAAGGTGAAATTTCTAAGGCGGGTTGCGACCTTCATATTTGCAACTATAGCCATTTTGGAGGCTATTTTTATTCGAAATTAGTCGCCAAGCCTGCCAATTTATGAAAAATATATAAGAAGTTTCTTAAAAATTACTTTTTTATGGTGGTGCTAACTTAAGCGTACTACTATTTCGCACCTAGCCACAAAAACATATTCATCAAATTTACTGGCTCTCTGTCGCAACCCCAAAGAATAACCAACCATTTTATTTGGCAAAAATCAGAATAATGCTTGACTGCGCCTGTCAAGCATTAAGATGTCAACTGTGATGTGTGAATGGCTCTTAAATGTCAAATTATTTAAAAATGTGCTTCTTTTGATATTTATTGCAAATAATTTGTAGTGTATCTCAATTAAGGCTTTCCATAAATAAAGGTACAGCAAGACAAATAATATAATGTTCTTATTCAAAGCACTTTTTTATTATATAAAAGAGAGGTAGGATATAATGCTGGTTTACATATTCAACCAGCGAATTGTAAATAATAATTAGTAAACTCCTAGTCATAAATTTTCTCAATTCATAAAATTACCTTGGGATTCTAATGACGTAATGTGATAACCCATTTCAATTTTTGATCAATTATGATACCGAGGTATTTTGTTGTGTTTTTCATTTTAATTATAAAGTTGTCATTTTTTTGTATGTTGAAAGAAGGCCTTTGTAAATTACATTGCTCTCTATGGATCTACTTTAACACAAAATTAGTTTTGTAGCTTTAAGTTGCTATAACCTGTCGTCTCAAAACTATTAATAATTTAAACATAGTAAGTAGTAAAACGAGGGGTAAAATAACAATAAATTAAGGGAAATACTTAAAAAGGGCAGGTTTAAAGAGTATTATCTCAAGAAAGTATATCCGTTCTGTTTATTTATCAAGTATTGTTTGAGGTTACTTTTGAATACATTTATTGTTGTTTTTTTTTTAATTTCTGTAGGCAGTCTATTAAATTTTTTAAACCTTTAATAAAAATTATATTTTGGGAACTTTTAGTGATGGCTTGCCGTACATGAAAGACAGATTGGCTTCTTGTATTATAGTTGTGATATTGCGAATTATATTGAATTTTTTATAATAGATCTGATGCGATGGTACTGTCATCTTTATTTTATAAATTAATATCAGTCATGTACTGGACATAATTCTGAACTGAAAGCCAATTTATTTCTTTTAACATAGTGCAATACTCATCCTTCTGTCCTTTATTAATAGAATATAAATAGGCGAAATAAGGAGCCCAAATATTTTACATGAGCAGGCTCAAGAGGTAAAGGGGCCAATTATTATTGGATAAATTACTCGAACAAGTTTTTAAACCTTAATCAAAAGGCGATATAGAATGGTTTTAAAAATCAATGCTTGTGACAATCATCACATGGTTGAACCTAAAGTAATGCCAATGCTTCACAAAACAAAAAATTCAATGTCCTAATACTACTATCGGCTTTCGGTCTTTCGTTCCAAGTTAAATCATTTTAGCTTCTCTGTATCAGAATTTGTTGGTTTACTAATTAGATAGATAATTTTCTGCTAAATATTTAATTCCTTTGCAGCCATTTGATTCTACTTCTTTCTAAGAGGCTCGCAAATAGATTTGTGTCTCTTGAAATTAAATCGTTTCAACATTTTGTTGAATACTTATAAAAACTTTTGAAATATACAAATTTTTAACAAACTGGCAAATTCAAAATTATTTTGATAACTGCCACTTCACATAATAACATGATGTAATAATTATTCTACGACGCCGTGCCAAAATCTAGTAATTTTTTGTTTTATCCATTTTACATTTAAACAATAAAGAAAACGATTGGACTTGGGGTATTCCCGAGACTTTTAAATATCAATTCCTTATGTATCAGGATGTATACATTGAAAGTTCTTTGTATTAAGATTTCCGACTACTGTGATAATTTTGAACAAGACTTATTTTTTAGAGATAAAAATCTTAGATTTGCTCGAAAGGTACCAAAATGCCTGGTAAATTCAATGAAACTGTATTCATCTTCTGCATTTTGTGTTTAAGTGTGTAATCTGAGATTTTGCTGGGAAAAGTAGGTAGAGTTGTATTCGACAAGACACGTGTGAAAACAAATACCAGTTTATGATTACAATAATTTAGTAACCAACTGGTTCTTGAATGGAATTCTTGAAAACTAAGCTGAACAGATCTCGCAATATATATATATATAACTATCAACAATAGAAATAATTAGTTTAACGTCAAAAAATTAAACATACACACCACCTATGTAAAATATTTTTTGCGGAAATAGATATGTTGTGATTTTCTCAATCTGTTGTAGACCGGATTATAAATAATATTGTCATTATAACTTCTAGGTGGCATATACAAATTCATCATAATTTCCCAAGAATACTTAATTTTTTCAGATATTTTGTTATACTTTTTGCTAACAATTCTTGCATATATTTATTCACATCTAAAATATTACGATCACCATTTTTACCTTTTCCTTTCAGTAGAATTGACCTTTTATATTGTATCTTCATTTTATCCTATTTTTCATTATTTCAATACCCTTTAGTGTCATATTATTACACCTCACGTTTTCCTTAGACTCAGTTACTTTTTCGTTTAACATATAAACCTTATCGTTTTTCTAATAGGATATGTTCCGCTTGTCTTCTCTGAACATGTCTCAATGTCCTAAGTATATTCTCTTTCGTCTTCTAATTTAAATATATTCCACCCTTAAAATAGTTCTGATACGTGTACTTATAATTTTTTCACGTCTTGCAACTTTGTTTATTCACCGCAGCATCCTCATCTTACCAATATTTGTTTTCTGCTTGTATATTTTCCTTTTACTGCCCAATATGCCGACCCAAAATCAAGGCTGGTCTAACAGATGCAATATAGAAATGTTTCTATAATTTAATTTGTACCGCACTCTACTTGATTATATCTAATTTAATCGCATACTGTTTCCTTTCTACTAATACTCAAACCCCTCGTCTCCAAGTTCTTGTTGTATAGATCTAACATCTTTTTAAGTCTTCTACCGAAATAGCGAACATCAGCGTTTATTGAACTCCAAAGGATGTTCCCTTCCACGTCTTTGAAGTTTCAACTAATGCCAAATAGAACAGAAATAGACTAAAGACTATAACGCAGACATCCGTTTGCATATATTTTATCAAGATACCCTTCATCTTCATAGCTCACCAAATCTATACGACTTTTCCATATCAATAAATAAAACAATTATATCATAAAAAAACGAAATTTAATTTACACATAAACCACTTCATCTGAGAGAAAATATGAATGTAACCAGACTTAGATGACAGATTATTTATTTAATTTATGATTTTTTCAGGATGATGGTGACGAAATTGTTCCAGAACAAGTCGAATACATTAGTGATGCAGACGAGGATGAAAGTGATGAAGAAGAAGAGGAAGAAGAAGAGGATGATGATGAAGAAGTAGAAGAGGAGGAAGAAGATGATAGCGATGAAAATAACGAGCAAATAACTCGTATGAAATGAAAATATAAAAAACGACTCGAAAATTATGGTGTTCACACATACACAATAAAATTGTGGTGCACCTAGTACAAGAAATGTTCTCCTCCTGTCATGTAGCTCTTACAGGCCAAATATAAATACAAAAACAAAATAATTTAGTTTTTTTCTTATCGTGTGTTTTGGTTACAGGATATGCTTAGTTTGTCATTAATAATATAATCAAGAATTAGTGATAGATCGCTCGGAAAGATCCGCATACATGTCTGAAAAGTAGACATGTCCAAACAAACTTTGAAAGATGTTATGTGAATGCGCGAATTTAAATAAAATCATTTAGCTGAATTTCTTACAAAGGCAAAATGTAGTTTAAACAAGAAGATAGAGATCTTGAGTTATTTGTAAAATCAGCTTCTGACCACTGTTTGAAAATAAATTGTAGCAAATCTAATGTTATTGTCTTTGGTACTAGATATAAACGCGATTCTGTGTTAGAGAATGTAAACATATTAGTTAAAAACGAGCGTCTTGAATTAGTAAATCACGTTAAAAGTCTTAGTGTTGTTTTAGATGCTGATTTGCGTTTTGAAAAACATGTAAATAACTTAATTGGGCGTCCATACTCAACAATCAAATTGATATATGGAAATAGGCAGTTCTTATCTTCTGATATCAAAAAGCTTTTATGTGAAAGTCTAATTCTCTCGATCTTTAATTATGCAGATATCCTGTATGGGCCATGCTTAACCAGCCAATATAAACAAAAAATTCAAAAGGTACAAAACTCTTGCCTTCGCTTAATTTTCGGTATTCGAAGAAGACTGCCTATTTCTCACAAATTAAAGGAAATAGGATGGCTTAACATGTACAATAGAAGAACACTTCATGCTGCAAATACATTTCACAAAATTATTGTTAGTAAAACTCCATTATATTTGTACAGGAAAATTACTTATCGAACTCACGTGCACAATTTAAATATAAGACATAAAAGTATACTGCCTCCACCACCATTTAGGTTAGAGCTATTTAGACGATGTTTCTCTTGTCATGTATGTGCAATTTATAATAATGTTCCAAATTCACTAAAATCCGTCAGTCATGAAAAATTCAAGAAATCATATAGAAATGTGTTATATGCTGCATAATGGTAAATGCTCAGTGTTTAATAGGTATATCTGTCTTTCTAATTTCTTTTTTCCTTATTTTTTTTATTTTCTGTGTTTTGAACGGTTCAATCGATATATATTTATATATATATATATATATATATATATATATATATATATATATATATATATATATATTTATTTATAAATATAATATAATTTTATTTTTTTTATTGTTTTGGGTTAAGTGGAAGAGCAATTCAGTGGTGAATTTTCATCACATGAATTGAACTTCGCCCTTTATTTCTCATTTTGCATAAAATATAATTGATATGTAATTTGTAATTATTCTGTATATTCAAAATGAAAATAATAAAGACATTTATTATTATTATTATTATTATTATTATTATTAATGAATTGAGGCCAGTATTAGTTCTCATGTAGGGCTGATAAAAACTGTTTATTGATCTTCTGCTTCTAGATGGGGCTGCCAACAATATGCTTGAAATCAATGTAGGGCAGTCAACCATATAATTATTAAGCTTAAAAAATAATTTCAAATCTGCCTGATCTCTTAATCTCAAAGTTGTTAAGGAGAATGTCTCTTGCAGTGCCGCAAAATCATAGGAATAGTCATCTATCCGTGGAATATTTGATTTAAATACTAAGTAGCGAAGAAATTTTCTCTGCACCTGTTCTAATCTATGAATGTGACAAGTATACTAGGGGTTCCAGACTGAAGAGCAATATTCTAGCAGAGGCCTAACAAGACTACAGTACAATAACCTGATAGCATTAATACTTGTAAAGCCTGATGTGTTTCTCTTTATAAACCCAAGCATACCAAGTGCTCTGGGTACTATTGTATCAATGTGATTGATAAATGAGAGCGTGGAGTCCACATTAACACTCAGATCTCGAATGGGTGCAACTTGGGACACTGGTGTACCCTTGATATTATATTGATAATCAATCCTGTTGATCTTCCTAATAAAGGATATCGAGTGACACTAGTGATGTTTAGGTCCATAGCATTATTCGCACACCACTCATCAAGCCTAGCCAGATCAGATTGAAGTTTGAGACAATCCTCAAAAGATGAAACTGCTAGCATGTAGCACTTTAGGTCATCTGCAAAGCATAAAAATCTGGCAAATGGGACCCTTGGAGGACTCCAGATGGATTGGGAATGTTTTTAGATCTGTAATTATTCAATTCAACAGTATGAAATCTTTCAGATAAATAACTCACCAGCCATTGCCCAGACAGCACACCAAATATCCTTTGGATATCTACTGAACATCCCAATATCCACTGAATGTCCAGTCCATGGTAGATATTGTAATGGCTGTATAGCTATAGAGTTTAGTGTCTCTTCTATTTTATGTTACTTTGGTGACTGGTGACAATTGATAGATGACGACTACATGAATAAAGATATTTAAAACCAAGTGTGGAATGTTTTAATACAACTATAAAATACAACTAAAACATGGTGTCAGGTGTAAAAATATAACAATAAAAAGTGTGACTATACACGGTATAAACAGTCTCTCAGCTGTTTAGAGATTTAATTTATTCAGCCAACCTAACCTAAAAAACACGTGTTGCACGTGCAGTGATTATAAAAGGAAAAAAAAAATACCAATTTTTGGAACCATGGATAATAACTTCAAGCCACCAAGCCCATTATTCGATGGAGGTAATAATCCTCAGGACAACTGGAAATTGTGGAAGCAAAAATTCCAAATATACCTCACTGCAACTAACAAACTGTCTGCATCAAAGGAAATAAAAATAGCTACCCTTTTGAGTTGTATAGGGGACGAAGGAATAGATATATATAACTCTTTCACCGAGGACCAACAATCTACATTAGAGAAATTAATAAAAGCTTTTGATGATTATTTTCTACCGAAAAAAGTTATTCCAATGGAAAGCTTTAAATTTTACACAATGGTCCAAGGAGAGAATCAGACAATAGATCAGTTTCTAACGGAATTAAAAAAGCAAGCCAAACTGTGCGATTTTTTTTGTGTTAAAGATGGATGTAATGAATCCTTTGAAGAACGTATGATAAGAGATAGACTGATAGTAGGTATCAGTTGTCGAGAAAGTCAACTAAGATTGCTCAGAGAGCCAGATTTAACAATAAAAAAGATAATAGATTATTGCAAAAGCATAGAACTAAGCAAAATACATGTTAAGATGTTAAACAAAGAAGAAGAGGTGAACTATGTAAAAAGTGTGAAAATCAAATGTAGGAAGTGCCTATATGAACATTATACAGGAAAGTGCCCAGCGAGCGATAAGCAATGCAATATTTGCAAGAGAACAGGACATTTTTCCAAAGCGTGTTTTTTTAAGAAGACAGATCAATGTGAGAAGTCTCCAAGTACATCATCAAGAAATATAGATAGTCGAGAAAAAATGGACCATAATAAAAAGGTAAGAAGTCTAGAATATGAAGAAGTGGAGCCAGAAGAGGAGCCAGAAAATATAAACTTTAATTTATATGTAAATGAATGTAATGGAGGTAATCACTTATCATCACCTTGGTATGAAACAATTGTTGTCCAAAATACTAAAGTAAAATTTAAACTGGACTCTGGTTCAGATATTAGCATTTTACCCAAAAAAATATATGAAAATATATTTAATAAAAATTCTCTTAAAATATCGAAGGTAACCATTGTATCCTACGGGAATTTTAGATTTAAACCATTAGGTGAAGTCATTTTACCATGTCTTTATAAAGATGTTTCTTTAAACATAAAATTTATTGTTGTAGATTGTAATTCAGAACCGTTGTTGGGGTTGGATGATTGTCTTAACCTTAATTTAATAAAACGTGTAGATTACTTACAATTAGCAAAAACTAAAAATGAGATTTTTTCAAAATACAAGGATGTTTTTGAGGGTTTAGGGAAAATACCAGGGGAATGCAACATAGAATTGCAAGAAAATGCAATACCTGTAGTACAATGTACAAGAAAAATTCCTCTCTCATTACATGATACCTTAAAAGAGACCCTGATAAAAATGGAACAACAAAATATAATCGAAAAAGTTGATTATCCAACTGACTGGGTAAACAGTCTTATGATAGTGCAAAAACCTGACAAATCATTGCGTCTTTGCATTGACCCGAAACCTTTGAATACTTATATCAAAAGAGAACATTTTCAAATTCCAACAAGCCAAGACATAATAAGTAAACTTTCAGGTAAATCAATTTTTACTGTAATTGACATGAAAAATGGGTTTTGGCAACTAATGCTAAATAAAACTAGCTCAGATTTAACAACTTTTAATACGCCATTTGGCAGATACAAATTTAATAGAGTTCCTTTTGGGATTAGTTGTGCGCCTGAGTTATTTCAAAAAAAAGTGTATGAAATTTTTAGTGGAATCGAAGATGTCCACATATATTTTGATGATCTAATAATAGCTTCTAAGTCAGAAATAGAACATGACAAACATTTGCATGAAGTATTCCAAACAGCACGCTGTAACAATATAAAATTCAATTTTAATAAATTTCAATACAAACTACCGGAAGTTAAATTTATGGGTTATTTAATATCGCTTAATGGAGTGAAACCAGATAGGGACAATATAGAAGCAATAAATGCTATTGAAACACCTAAAAATAAATCAGAAATTTTAAGAGTTTTAGGTCTGGTCAAATTTTTTTCCAAATTCGTTCCTAACCTTTCTGCATTAACGTCTAATCTAAGAAACTTGACAAGAAAGGATATAAAGTTTGAATGGTCTCAAACACACAATGATGAATTAAATTGCTTAAAATATCTAATAACACATTCCCCAGTCCTTAAAATATTTAATCCTGACCTAGAAATAACAATTCAGTGTTATGCCTCAGGTGATGGTTTGGGCTGTGTGTTATTACAAGAAGGACACCCAGTATCTTTTGCATCTCGCACTCTGACGAAAGCAGAGAAACGATATGCTCAAATAGAAAAAGAGCTGCTGGCTATATGTTTCGCGTTTGAAAAATTTCATTATTTTGTCTATGGGTATCCAGTAATAGTACAGAGTGATCACAAACCACTGGTTCCAATATTTTCTAGAAACCTAGATAGAATTAGTACTAGACTGCAGAGAATGATGCTAAAATTACTGAAATACAACATAAAAATTGTTTATTTGCCAGGTAAGGATATGTTAGTTGCAGATATTTTATCCCGTTCATTTATTAAAACTGAAGTAAAAGATGACCCTGAAATGGAATATATAGTTCATGCGCTTTATAATAATATTCCTGTATCAAAAGAAAAAAAGGAGTTATTCAAAAATGAAATCAGTAAGGATAAAAGTCTAAGTCAAGTAAAAAACTTTTGTTTAACAACCTGGCCACTCAGCAACAAAAACTTAAGCACAGACCTAAAACACTACTATAAATTAAAAAATAATATTTATTTATCAAATGACATTTTATTTTTGGATACAAAAATTATAGTCCCTGAATCTCTAAGAAAAGAAATGCTATCACTTATACACGAATCACACTTTGGCATTCAAAAATCTAAAGCTAGAGCAAGACAAATATTTTATTGGCCAAATTTGACAATAGATATAGAAAATCTTGTTTCAAAATGCGAAACTTGTCAAATTCATCAAAGGTCAAACCAAAAAGAAACTCTAATCAGTCATGCTATACCTGATAGGCCTTGGCAATATCTATTTTCTGACTTTTTTGAGTATGACTCTACTAACTATCTAGTCTTAGTGGATTCTTATTCAAATTGGGTAGAGGTCAGTGAAACTAAAACAAAAACTGCACATGATGTAATTAAGTTTTGCAAAGAAACATTTTCACAATTTGGTGTGCCAGATAAACTATTTTCAGACAATGTTCCTTACAATTCTAAGGCTTTTATGGCATTTGCTAAAGAATGGAATTTTGAAATAGCGTTTAGCAGTCCACACCATCATCAATCTAATGGTTTAGCTGAACGCTACGTAGGGATTGTCAAACAGATGTTAAAAAAGGCTAAAAATAAATCTGATCTACCTTTATTCCTAATGGAATATAGGAATACACCATTGCCTAACATGAATTTCTCTCCATCCCAATTATTATTGCATAGGGTTCTCAAAACTAAAATTCCTACTTCTGTTGAAACCTTAAAGCCTGTCATTATAGATCCTAGAATAATTCAAAATAAAATAGAATCTAAACAAAAAAGCCAAAAACATTTTTATGATAAAAATGCCAAGGATATTT